ATGAAACTCGTACCTTGCGGATACTCCACCAGTGTCAGAGACAACGGGACCCACTCGGTCTCGTCAGCGGCGCGTACGAAACGCGACGCGATCCCGTCCAACGGCTCGTCGGGCGATGCCATCGTTATCGCGGTCCTCGAGGATGTGGCATGTCTCGCGCGGACAGACTCACGGACGCGCACCGGCTGGTGAGGCTGGTCGCTGGTCGGCGTGAAGGGAGGGGACGAGCAGGAGGGGCGGAGGGGAAAGGGGTCTCGTATTTACACCCGCAACTACGAGATCGCGGCCGCCGCGTCGCTGTCCATGTCCGCCTGTCCCGTCGCTGGCATTGACCCTCGCTGTAGATGCAGCACGTTGTTGACGAGAGGCGCCAAACAAAACGCCGTCCGTGGAAGTCGGCGAAAGCCGGAAGAAGCCTGGACGTCTCCTCCCCCTCTCTGAGCTCGATCGGTTAGCGATATGCCACCGCGAATTTCTGGTGCTCGCGTATCGAGATCGGAGAACGTAGAATTTCGATCGCTCGCGAAGATAAATTGAAGGAAAATTCAGGAACCAAGAAATTAATATGTTGTCTAAGGAAACAGATTTTGCCAGGTAATGGGAAAAAAACATTAAATAAAGTATAAAAGTATTTTGGAATATAAAATCTATGTGTAAAGATAGAATGGCATAATAAATAAAACTAGTATATAATAAGTGGTAATCACGAATAGAAGACTAGTAAAGTAAATTAAGATAATTATTTTGCAGAATTGGAACTGGATCTTGTTGTAAATGCTGGCCGAAAACAATGTTGCAATCATTTGCATAGTTTGAAACAACACTTGAGTGAGATTTTAGCGAATGTAAGGCAGACTTTAGCTGTTAAAGTGCCACAAGATATAGCGATGAGGGTTTAACGGAACTTCAGGCTACGCTCATTATGCCCACTATAGAAAAAGTTAAAGGAGTCCTACGAGATTTATCGGTTTGTATCTCCAAACTCTTATTCAATTACTCTTTATTCAATTTTTTACAACGTATCTTACAACGCTAAAACCTACTTTACATGCACAAGACAGCATCAATCAAAGTCTCGCATGAAAACGGTAATGAGTTAAAAATGTATAAAAATTTTAACCGGCAGTCTATTACAGAGTCCGTATAATAAATACCCAGTTTCAATTATTTCCGATCGAGCTGACAAATTTACATTCTCTTCATTAGTTGCCATGCTAATAATTAGGACTGTAAATTGTGCAGTCGAAATAGAAACGGAAATAGAAATTCTATGCAGATCGATCGTCGACGATTGCTATTTAATCACACAATACACAGAACGCGTTTATCAAAAATAATAAATATAATAATAAAGTAAACAAACAAAACACCAAATACACCTTCTGATTCACCAGCGCTCTCCGTTTACCTTCCACTTGTAGATACGTGCCATATAAGTTTTGTAACTGGAATACAAAATTCACACATTTATAGTTAATTAATTTCTATATACAAATTGTTATGAAAAATATATAAATTAGACCACTGTTAACTTCTTTTAGTTTTAAGAGATACTGAATTATTTCATTTTTAAACATAATTAGTTCAAGGAATCTACCGTGCGCGCAAGCTCCAGCTCCCGGTTTGAGGAGTTCTTCACTTCCTGTTCTCGCGCTCTCAACTCCTCTGTAGTTCTCCACAGATCTGCCTCTAGGATTTCTTTCAGTTCGTTGGTCAACGCTAGGCTGCTGATAAGTCTTTCTTGTTCCTCCATTGCGATCTCTAACTTCTTCTCGTATTTACTCATTTCGTTCTCCAGTTTCTTCATATTCTCTCGTAGTTCCGCATTATGTTCGCGGCTTTCCTCAAGATTTTCGCTCGTTCTTAAATATGAAAAGAAAGATTAGGAAACAAAATATTGCTTACGGAACAACTTCGCACGCTCTTGTAGTTATCTTGTTTTGCTAAAATGTAATTAAATTCTATCGGCATAGATATCAATGTTTGCCGAGAAAAGATTATAGGCAGATAAACATAACTAATATGTAAAAGTAATAAAAATTTTAAAAATAAATTAAAAATTAACGCGTACCTGTCCGATTTATTTTGAACGGTTGCAGCAAAGTTCGGCAAGTTTCTACTGGCATTTTCTATCTGCGTCCTCAAGAACTCCGCGTTCCTCTCTGATATAAGTTCTTTGTCCGACTTAACCACCTTCTTCGTCTCCTCTAGTGTCAAATCCGCTTTCTGTTGTCTCATTAATTCTCGTTCGATCTCTATTTTATCCTTTAAACTGTTTAGTAAATGTACAGAGAGATGCAGTCCTTGCTTGATCATGATAATTTTGTCCTTCTTTAGGAACTCCTGCGGGTGATGGATCTCTTGATCCTTGTTGCTAGAGGACGACGGCGAGGACGTGCCCGACTGTACGTCATCCATCTCCAATTTACGAATAATCTGATCCCACGTGTTCAAACCACTTGCACGCAGCTAAAGATTCAGTTAAAAATGTGGAATTAACATACTTGCCATAAAAAATACCCGACGTTGAAGATAAAAGAATTTTCATATTATTTAAAATTCAAGCGACGAATGAAACATGAGTTTGCATTAATTTCTTTCAATCCGTTATTTTTCTGTAATAAGTACAGATTAAATATATAAACAATAATCGTTTCTAATAAAACAAAACTTGTCGAAAATTTGGTTCTAAAATTTCTCGTGGACGATGATGCTTTTCGATTTTCACGAGTACGTGCGGACTGTCGGATCTTATTTATTAACTTGCTTTGCGAATTATATTACCGATGGACTTGAAGTCTTCTCTGGATACAATTAAATAAATCACCGCACAGCCGGCAACGTAACGGCAAATGCTTGTCTATTATGTGGCTCAACAATTTTTTATCCTCCAAGTTCAGTTTTTGCTGCTTGCTGTCCGAAGTGAAAAATCTTCGAAAACGGATATACGGACGTGATTGCCGAAACGATCGGGTGTTTACTGATCGAACTGTTCAACGACAAACCAGTTTGACCGTGGGGGAATAACAATATAAACAGACAAGTACGTACAAAGTAGAAATATACGAAAGTCAGAGATTACACGTTATGAACGTCCGCATTAGATTACATTTTCTACGTTGTATTTATAATTTGACAAATAAAAAAAGAACTTTGGATGGAGTAAACCTCATTTACAGCTAAATAAAAATTAAGAAATCTCTATCTCGTTTTTTTATTTAAACTTAGGGAAAGAGTTACATATTTTATATTGTTTTTAAAATTAGAAATGAAGAAGCTTTATTTAATAGAGGAGTTTACGTTTTCAATAGATGATTCGATTTCTGGAAATTATAAATCAGTGGATCAGGGCTAAATGTAGGACGAGGACAGCCACATAATGTTCTCTCTTTCTTGCGTTATAATGCGGAAGGTATTGTTTATTGTATAGTCTATAAGCTCCATATGTAAATTAGAATACGATTATTTATGTATTTTTTAATTAAATATACTTATGGCTAGACGCAATGTTTGGTTTTTTTAATTAAAAAATACATAAATCGTATTCTAATTTACATATGGAGCTTATAGACTACACAATAAACAATACTTTCCGCATTATAACGCAAGAAAAAGAGAGAACATTACGTGGCTGTCCTCGTCCTACAGTATGCATGCACAGTACAAGATGCATGCACAGTTTGGTTCAGTCGGGAGGACGTAAAAATGGGCGGAGAAATGAAGGGCGTACGCATAACTAAAAAACAATAAGCATAACTAAGGAACAATAAGCTTTTATTTTTAAACAGGAAATCATCCGTTACCTCATTGTGATTCATTATAAATATTAGCATGTACAAAAGATGACGAGAGACAAGGCTGCGAAGGCGCGAACACTGCGCTTGCGTTTATAAGCTAATGCTTTTGTTTCGTGTTACGTTTACATAATTCTCTTATATGTTAGTCCTGATGAAATTAATTAAGCGCGACAGGGATAGACGGATTACATCGGTCTGCCCATGCCACGTCCCATCGGCTGCTGCGGGCCGTCTTGACTGCTCTTGGGATTCCTGATAGTCTCGTCGACGGAAAGAATGAGGCAGGCGGCCTCCGTGGCGGCGGTCAACGCGTTGATCTTCACTATCGCCGGCTCCCAGACGCAGCACTGCATGTTGTCCGCGATATCCTCTAAATTTATATCGACGCCGTACCACTGCATGCCTTTGTGATGCTTCTGGCGCAATTTATTCAAGATATTCGTCGCGTCGAAGCCGGCGTTATCACACAGTTGCCTGTAACCGTGATATTTATCGTTAATTACATCTCGTTAATGTTTAAGTAAAAATAATGTAGCAGCCTATCAAGCGAGAGACCCAGATTTGATCCCCGCCGCTCGGCATGTCAAAATACAAAAAGATTCATGTAGAAAAATATTTTTTCACCTTGACAAAAAGAATTGAAAATGCGAATTGAACAAATAAATTGTGCATTCCTTTGAAAATCCAAAGAACACGAATATTGTACACACGAATATACCTCGGAATAACTTCGAGAGCTCTCGCTATCGCTCCTATCAAAAGCTGCTCCTTTCCGGCGATAGTGCGTGAGTGATCGCGCAAAGTCTTGGAGATCTCCATCTCGATGGCACCCCCGCCGGCGACCACCGCGTCGTTCTTCACCATGCGTCTGACAACCATGATTGCGTCGTGAAGGGACCTCTCCGTCTCTTCTAGAAACTGTTCCGCGCCTCCGCGCAGAATAAACGTGCACGTCTTCGCTCGCGAACACTCGTAGAAGATGTTGAACCTGAAGACACATATACAATTAGAAATCGTTACGCCTGATCGTTTTATAATAATAGAGTTAAACAATATGAGTGCTCAATCGTCATTTAATCACCTCTCGCCACCAATCTGCTTCTCCTCGAAAATCTGGCACCTTCCGAGATCGGAGTCCTTGATGCCGTGCACTGTCGTTAAAATTCCACCGCCGCACGCCTTCATCGTTCTCTTGAGATCCTCGTCGGGCACCCTACCCGCGCAGAACATGTCCCTGTCCGCGAAATACTGCGTTGCGACGTCGCCGATCGGCAACGTGGACAGCACCACTTTCGCGCCGCTCTTGTGAATCTGATCGAGCTTATCGTAGAGAATCTGCCATTCCGCGTCGACGATCTTCTGATACTCCGCTACATTGTCCACGCGCACTTCCGCGTTGTCCCGTTCCGCCTTCAATTCCAGTTCGATATTCAGCAACGCGATCTTGCACTGCTCGTATTTTTTCGGTTGCATTTCGAATCCGGCGTACGAGAAGGTCTTTTTAAAGGCGACTCCTTGGATCAGCTCCGACTCTTCCAGCGCGCCTCCAGAAATCTGAATATCATTCAAATATTAATTATTATTCTAGCGCACTGAAACCTTTCGTAAAATAAAAAATGGCATAATCACACACCTTTTTAATACCGATCATGTTAAGAGGAAGTAAGTCGTCTAGCATCATAACAGCCTTGACGACCAATTGGCTGAAATGTTTCTTCTGTTGATGTATCAACTTGGAGCTCATAGATGTGGCCGCGCATTTCTCCAGGAGCTCAATCTGTTTGGTCAAGTCGCTCTTGTCTAGCTTGACGCTTAGCTCGTTAATTTTATCTACGGCTATCTGAAGCGCGCGACGGAGGGCCTTGATGATTATGCGTGGGTGTACGCCCTCCTCTATAAACAATTTCATCTGTTTCAAGAACTCCCCCGCTAGCATAACCACGCTGGTCGTGCCATCTCCAACCTGTTGAACAATGACATATTCAATTAATCGTTTCAATTCCTCGTCTCTTTACTCGCTATTTTATTTTAATATAAAATTGTAAGGAAAATGTTCGAACGCTTATGAGACAATCGCATATCTTCAGGATATTGCCAGTCTACGCGTTCCATATTCAATATCCTCTGAATATCCACTAGCATAACGTTATCCTCGTTACGTTATTGCCGAGCCTAAACTCGTTTTCAGAGAATGTGGACAAGCGCAGTAATATAGTTCTCACCTCTGCGTCCTGCGACTTTGCAATATCCACCAGAGTCTTTGCAGCGGGATGAACGATATCCAACAGATTCAGGATGGTAGCGCCATCGTTGGAGATGGTGCTCTTCCCATTTTGATCAACTATGAGCTTGTCCATGCCGCGAGGGCCCAGGGTGGTCCTGACGGCGTCCACGACAATCTGGCATGCATTTATATTGGATATCACTTGTTGCTTTCCCTGGGACGCGTCCGTGCCCTCTTTCAGCAAGATTATTTGAGGTTGCTGCAATCAAGGAGAAATATTGGAACGACAGACATATTCAGAGACATTTAACCCTAAGTAAATGCAGGAAAGGTACCGTCGCATATTTCCCCATTCCGACACCGACAAATTATACTTCTTTTTTTTAGGTAAATCGCGGAGCACAATAGCGCGATCGAAGCGAGGTCGTTGAAGATGAGAAAAACGAAGATCGGGATCCGCGATTCATTTGAAGATCCACATCGCCGGAGTCGATAAACAAGAACAGAGGGTGCGGCGTGAAATGGGTTTCCTTATAAGGTTATAAAAATCGGACCGGAGAGCCGACGAGGAACCGACGGGTTGCGAAAGCTGCGAAGCCGACTCGTCTGTCACGAGGTACTTCTCTTCGAGGGGACGCGAGGTTAAATAAGAGTAATAAGGGTGATAATAAGGGCGAGGCGCGAGTCGAGGGTGAAAATGAGGCACGAGGTACTGCACGAGTGCGTCATTTTGAGAACCGGCTCTGAGGCGAGAACGACGCGGGATATATCGTCGAAGGTGTGATTAGAGACGTTTTCTCGTCCTCTCTATTGAAGCTTACCATCTTGGAGTCTCTCTTCTTTCACGAGGTGGTTTCTATCACGCGCGCGATTTCGCGAATTTAATTTTCTTCGCGATCGCCCCGATAGATCAACGCGAGCGGTGACGACTGTGACGAGTGACGAGCAGAAAGCACGCGTTCTCGAGAAGTATTGTGTAAAATGCCAATGCCTCCTCGCTGCTCCGACTGCTGCATTTGTCCGATTTTCATCTCGGCTGACCTATCAGATCGCGAGACGCACCCACGGTCGTGAATACAGCCCTGCGTTCCGTAACGCGCATATGCGCGCATTTATCTATAGTTCAAAGATATAAAAAGGTATACGTTACATATACGTTTAATAAGGTAATAAGGTAATATACGTTTCCTAGTAGAATTTTCTTGAAAAAGAACCTACTTCTTAAATGTATATTATTTACTAAACTATTATTTACTGTTCTGCAGTTATTATTACTTACCCTAGTAGCACATGATGGAGTATATAAAACGTATAATACTTATTCTTTAATATTCGTCGCGTGATGCGACGCGATGGATATGACATACGCTAATGTAAAGAGGAGAAGAAGACAATTCAAACTACACCGGCTTGACCGCGGCTTCCTGTCACGTGCGCTTTTGTTACTGTCGAACTCTCATTGGCTGAGAGTATCGCGCTGCGCGGCGCGTGACGCGTGATTGCGGGTCTAAAGGGCGCGTCATTCACACCGTCGCGATATGCGACAACGAGGACGACCCGTGCCCGAAAAGTGAGGTATTTAAACGAACGATTTTCTTCGTAAAACTCATAATTTTACGATCTCTCGTACGAGCAAGCGAGTTAATTAACTCCTTTGACGCTTATCGTTAATTAAGGCCGATTAACCAATTTTTGTTTGCACGATTTTAAGAATCCGCGTGCGGAATCCGAGGGCTCGCGCTCTCACGTTTCGATTACGTAAAACGTGCGGATCCGGAGCGTGTTATATATATTACGTGTATGAATTATCGTATATCTTCGCGACGCGGGACAGGAGACCCCCATGCGCTCGCCACGGGTTTATTTTTAAACGTCGCTATATTTGTATAGATCTGTCTCATATGATATTGTTGTGTAATACGCCGCTCTGTCATCACCTGATCCCGGGGAAACGACTTGATCGGGGATCCGGGCGTTCCTCAGTCGTTCCCGCGCTTCCGCATCGCGCCCTACATCCCCGACGATCGATACGCGGACGGGTTAACGGGTTTACCGAGGCTCGAGGACTCTCGTCGCCAGTTAACTTTCCTCTCCCCCCGTCAGAGTCAAACGGAGGAAATCGCACTCGAGATCAGCTGATTCTTGGTAAAGTTATTGTCACTCATATCAGGACATTTTCCCTAAGTGTCACTTATCAGCGCTTTTGTAATTTAACCTGTTCTCCATTTATCTCTTTCCATTTAAGTTAAGGAAAGTCTGCGAGAACGAGAGCCTTCGGAGAGTCTGCGATTTAACGCGGCCGTTGTATTCGGCAACACCAAATAAATTGACTTGGGAACCGTCGATTTCTCATTTGGAGAAAGTTCAAGGTGATGAGTTCTCAGGCATTTGGAGAAAGTTCAAGGTGATGAGCTGCCGGAAATGTCAACGGGGTTCTTCCGAGGCCGCAGGCGCGTCTCTCGTGGAGGACAAACGTGCGAGAGATCGATACGTTTAAAATCTTATATTCGGTTCAAGACTTAAATTATTTGTTTAGGATCTTTTGGATGTTCAATGCAAGAATCTGAAAACTTTATTTTAGTGCAAACAATACAAAGAGAAATATATATATATATATATATATATATATATATATATATAAATTTAATTTATTAACTTATATGCTGAGAAGTGAACTTGATTTACAATTTTTCCTTAACACACTTATTGTTAAGTAAAACCATCCATGCAAACCTTTTAGCTTATCACTACTTATATATAATCCTTCCTTGCTCTAATAGTCTCTTTCTCTCTCCACAGCTCAACACTTCCTTAACACATTCTATTTTACTTATCCACTTCATTATTCTATATTCTTCCCAATAAGAAATTTATATATACAACGCATAAAAATGTAAAAAATAGATTTGTGTACATACATTGTATATGTGCAGGACCCTTAAATTTGTTGAAAAATCTATCTTTTTTTTTGGGATTTTTCAAGGATTTAAACGGCCGTTATTTTTAGTCTAGCGTGCGTCGCGAGGAGAGGGAAGTCACGCGGGGAAGATGAAGACGATCTGGGTAATCGGCGGGCCGGGATGCGGCAAGGGGACGCAGTGCGACCGTATGATCGAGAAGTATGGATTACTTCACTTGAGCAGCGGCGATTTGTTAAGGGCGGAAGTCGCCAGTGGCAGCGAGAGAGGCGCGTCGCTCCAGGATCTCATGTCCAAGGGACTGTTCGTGCCAACGGTACATAATGTCATTCGAATTTCCATTTATTGATCCGACCATTCGAATCCCCAGCTAATTGCCTTGCGCTTGTTAATTTAAACAAAAATATAAATATAATGTAAAATAAGATTTTATTGCAAGAAAATAAGATTGAGGAAACTGCACGCGTGCTAAAGATATAAATAAACAAATAAATAAAAATAGAAAAAGATATATTCGCGCGTCTTACGCGAGCGAACCCGGTTTTTCTCAGTGTGAAGATCATGTGGTTTCGCTAGGACATTGTGCTGGCGCTAATAAAGGAACAGATGGACAAAGCTCGCGCGGAAGGAACTACGAAGACCGGATTTCTCATCGACGGCTACCCTCGTGAGAAAGATCAGGGTATTCTCTTTGAAGAAAACGTAAGAAGCTGACAACCTTCTCTCTTTACTGTCTGTCTCTTTCGTCTTGAACTGTCGACATGTTGCTGTGCAGGTGTGCCCCGTCGATTTAATTCTCTTCTTCGATGTAGCGAATGACACCCTGAAAAAGAGACTCTTCGGACGCGCCGCTGTGTCTCAAAGGGCGGACGACAACGAGGAGTCGATCAAAAAGAGAATCGAAATATTTAATGCGAAGAACAGCGAGATCGTCGAACATTACAAAGACAAAGTTGTCAGAGTGAGTTTAGAATATTTTTTTTCATCTATTCCGCGACCGTCGCATATCTTACAAACTTGTACAAATTAATCGTTCCTTTTCAGATTAATGCGGAGGGAACAGTGGACGAAATATTCGCCGAGGTAACGAAAGCGTTGGACGCTTTATTAGCTTAGATACATTGCACCGGAAACTTTCAAAGAGCTGCAAGGGAGATTAGTTGCTCTTTAAAAACAAATCGTTACCAAAGTTTATTACATTCTAGATGACTTGTTGGAGACTCACTCGAATGAAATATACGCGTACAAATTAGGTACTTTTGATTGTTAATTGTTGAATAAAACATAGAACTGCTTTAAGTCGCAACATTTGCATTGTCTATTCCAACAATCTATTTTTTAAGCAAAATTTTTTTAGTTTTAGTTTAATCGTGATCTAACGAAATAAATTAAAATTAAATTAAAGCAAAAGTTCAACTTTTAATACTTTTGGCAAATTGCACAACTATAGGCTTATCTTTTAATATATATCCATTCGTTTCTTCGAGAGCCATTTTTGCCTGTACATCATTTTGTAAAGTGACAAAGGCTTGCCCCTTCATTCTTCCTTCTTGCATGAGACGTACGTCGTACCTGCAGATATTAATAAATATACATTATGAGATAGCATATAAATCGCATATTGCAATAGTAAAATGCCAACAAAGTACTCACTCATTCTCGGAATCTTTCAATCCGGCGATAACGTATCTTTGATAAATGTAATGTAGATCCTTCGCTTCCACTTGCTTCGCGAGATTCTTTATGTAGAGGCGATTCGAAGGCTTGCCCGGGTGATAATTCTTGAACACGGGAAGCAATCTCTGATCGTTAGCGGAGATCTTATTAGCCGCCAATTCTTCGGAAGTTATAAACTTATTTTTCTGCGTTTCTGCATTCCCCTCACTATCTTTGGCGTCCTCGGGAGCTTTATTAGCCGGGAATATTAAACCGAATCCGCCGTCCACGGCCACAGTGCTGTCTTGATTAGCAGCTGTTGCCTCCAGCGACTTGTCCAGAGTTTTCAATTCGATCTTGAGATTTTTAGTCTCCCCGCGTTGAACGGATTCGAACATATCTTCCGGTTTGAGCACTTTTTGCGAGGACGAGGGAGTCACGATGTTTTTGGCAGGATTCACGAACTTTGGAATTTTCAAACGCTTCGTAGATTGCGGCCGTTTTCTCTTAACTGGGATAACTTCTAGGGGTCGGACGTTATCTTCCCCATCTGATTCCAACTCGGACTCCTCTTCCTCCATTTCTCTTTCGTCCACGCGCTCGTGGAATATATCTAAAAAGAAAGAACGCTATATTCATTTAATCACTGTCGATCGTTATTCATAATTTCGTTATTACATACCTTTGTACTTCTCCATATCGTACACTTCCCTGAGCATAGGAAATTCCGCATCCAATTCTTCAAAGGGAGGAGGTAGATTCATCTTGTTCATCAAATGCAACACCTACGCATACATGCAACAGCTGTAATGCTGCCGATTAAAATTCTATTAAAATAGAATGTCGAAATAAAAACCCAACGGTTTTACCTGCGTGTAGAAAGCTGGCTGAGTCAACAACTGTACGGCTATCCTTATCAATGTACTTCTCGTCGGCGTCAGGTATTTGTATCTTATGTTTGGCGGCGGCGACTGACTGAACTCGTGACTCATCGTCCAATTGTTCAATTTTCGCAGGAATGCCTGGACGTGAGACTTGCTGACGGCCTCTGGTTTCACGTCGCTACTCGTCGGTGCTTTGCGTTCGATGTCTTGCTCCGAGAGCTCAGCGGGTACAGATCTCTTGGCATACTCGACCGTTAGATATTGCCCTCTGACATTTAACTGATGCAGACGCAGCAGTGCTTCCGACGCCAATTGCTGGGACGGGAATTTGGCGTAGGTGACGGTGTACCTGCCGAACGGTCGTATCGTCCTGGTCTTGGTCGCGCCATATTTCTGCAATAATTCATCGCGCCGCTCGTCAGAAAGTTGCGGGGGCAAATGAAGAATCCTCAGCGTGTCGCACGCCTAGAAAATACGTCGGGAAACTCGGATATAGAATTAAATGTATCTATGCGAGGTTAGAAACGTAATTTTGATTTATAAAAATCAAAGCTTGACCCTTCGATCGATTTAATGCCATATAAAATATTATTATATTTACTGGAATCATTTTTGACGATATTTTCTGTTGCACTTCCAATAAAAACAGGAGTAGTCTTCACTCGAGATGTTATCAAACAACTCCGACGAAATGTAAACAAACTGGAAGTGCGGTATGTGGATGCTGTCACATTTGAAACCGGCTACTTCCGGTTCGAATGTGTCACGTCTAGATATTCATACACCCTGACTGTAGATTTAAATATAATATTATATATTTTTTTTATATTAATATATACAAATCAGAGAGAAACCTGAGAGAGGCCATCCCGGTCTTTTACGTATGTTGCTGTGTTGCATTTTCCGACGCGCCGCCTGAGAAAGTGCAACTCAACTACGTCGTATCGCTCGGTAACCGCACATGGTTTGCGTCCGTGCTAATGGTTCGTGTATGAACTAGCCAGCTGGAGGGGATATTATTCTGGCCGCGGCGGCCGCGCGCTCGGCCGGCCCGGGAGTTGCATCTGATTGCACCCGTTGATGATATTTTTACCTTATTTTATATTATATTTTTTTTTACCTTATTTTATATTATATTTTTTAAATATAGATAAATCGCGCAAAAATATCTGTTCCGCGTAAACAGCCACCGTCGCCTCGATATCCCTCACGTACTGACTGTTACTACGTTTATGCGAGCGTTACTTCTGTAGTAACTTACGATACGTCCGTCGCGTAAACGAGATTTTGTAGTAACTTACGATACGTTACTCCGCGTAAACGAATGATATATCGTAAGTTACTATAGAAGTAACGCTCGCGTAAACGTAGTATGAGGGAGTTACGTAATCGCCAGGCTAATGATCACTACGTGTTCGCGATATATGTATATAACACTCGCGTTTCGAGAGACAGCTACGTCGACCAGACACCACCGAGACAGAACGCAGAACGTAGAATACAGCCAGTTAAACCTGTGAAAGTTAACGAAAGATTCGGCATACGTTGTCTTTTATTGTTCGTTGAAAGTTTTCGGTATGTTTGAACCGGCCGCGGCCGCGCGCGTAGGCCGTGACGTCATGCGCCGCTCCGCGCCGCCGGCGCGGCGTAACGATACGGTGACGGTGATGTATATGTAGTAGGCAGTGTAGGCACCTGCGCAGTCCGTACTAGCGGCGTGACCGTTGAACTCGAAAGCTCCGTACCTCGAAGATCGGCGCGTTTTCAACGTTGTTTCTGGCGATGAGCGGACTTGTCACTTGTTTCCGTCAACGCTCGGAGTAGTGTTACCTGCGTGAGTGACTCAGTTATCATTCTTCCGAGGAATCTCGCACCGGTAGGAAGTGTTTGTGCTTCGCGCGCGCTCGTCACCGACGTCACCGTGCTTCGTGCTGTTTTCGGAACGCGCTCGTTTCGGTGATTGGCATTCCTGCTTCCTCGTTTCGCGGGCCGCGGGAATACGCGCTACGCGATCGAGTACCGCGCGCCGTGTGCCGTGTGTGTAAAACAATTTAGAGTGTATGAGGTGTTTATCGGAATGAACGTGTCGCGCGACGCGCTCACTCGAGACGTCGAGGCGGAGGTATGTATGAACGACTTGCTTTGCAGTTTCGCGCTGTGATATTCGCGAGTGATAGTCGCTCCTCCCGCCATGTCTGGATTCGCGAAGAACGCTGACGTGCCGGACGTGTCGTGTGATTTAGCTCCGATTCTCTCCGTAGGGAAAAAGGGCTGAGAGATATTGATCGTGTCAAGTGATTCCGGTGATTCGATCGGTGATAACGGAACGCCGCGATACATCGCCCGTTCGTGAATGCTTCATAATCTCGATTTACGAGTTTGGTAACGTACTGTGCGTGCGATATTTAATTTCAACAACGTATCTCTGATTGACGAAGTGCGTGTCTTTATTAACCGTCCGCTCGACTTGCGTAGTATCGCGCCAAGTTGCCAACATCTCGGAACATTTCGTCGCCCATTATTACGTCGCCCATTAACAACGTAACGCCGGTAACGCGGTGATGAACGCGTAACGACGCGGAGCACGCGGCGTCGCGACTCCTTCAAATTTGCATGAAAAATTCATGTTACCCGCTTTTATATTACAGAGAAAAGTACTTTTCCTTCCCACGGGTACGACCTTGGCGAGGTGGGAAGGCTCCAGTACCCAGTACGAGGATTTTACCCAAGCAAAACTCTTGTTCTGCTTGGATAAAAATTCAAAGACGGGGAAGCTAACGTACCCTCGTCCGCCGATTTAATTGAATGAACGAACCGCAGCCGGTTCGTCGCGTTTGCTTCGGGAGTGCCGTTCAAGTAATCGGACTAAAGGACTTTTCTAAACGGGAGTGCCGTACAGTATCGCGCGAGAAAGACTTTTAATGAAATTAGTCCGCGCGCGATTGTAGTTTATTATCCGCGAGTGTTTCTCGCGAGTGTCCTGTGCGGTGAGACGATGAAGCCTAAGTATCCCCTGAGAGGAGGAGGAGGCCTGGGAGAGGCATCGGGCACCGGCGGAGCAACCTTGGGGTGAGTATCATCTCTTTATATCTGCGTAAAATTAAAATAGTT